CCGGCCTGTAGTTTCCCGGGTCTTCTTTAATGTTTTACTTAGTAAAAGTTTTAGTCTCCTGAATCAGTTATGTCTCAAGCTTGCAGAACAAAAGGGTAGCGTTGGACTCATTGAGTAAGTGACTTCCAGCCAAAAGAGAAGGAAGCGGTAGAGTGAGGAGGCATTTCAACATATTCCAACTAGAGACTGCTGAAGAGATCTCTTTTTCCTGGAATTTGTCAGGGAGCATTTTCCAGGATTTGGTGACTACGGATGCTGGTAAAAGCTGGAAGAAGGAGATGGCGAAGGCTGCAAAGTAGGCAGTGCTTATACCAAGAGGAGCACTTCAAAGAAGAGAGGGAGGATGTAAAAGCTAATACGAAGGTAAGAGCAGCAACATGTAGCACGGTACTTAGAGCAGTGAGCAAAGGAACATAGCAGAATATGCAGTTAGCTGAGAAAAAGACCAAAATGCTGATCAGAAAAACCATATGCAGGTTGCAAAAACAGAGAGGCGCAGGAGGTGGACAGGAAAACAACAGAGGAAGGATGGGAAGAAGACAGCAAGAAGGTGAATATAGATCAAAGACATGGAGTATTGAAAGTTTATTCTTTCATACTTAAGCAACTAAGAAACTTGAAATCACAAACTGAAATGTTTTTTCCAAAGGAATGTTAAAATTAAGTAAATATGACATCTGACACCTAGTGTTTTGTTTGAAGTAGGATGAGACTGATATTTTCTCTTTTTCAAAGTGTGAGGAGTCAAACCTTTTGACTCAGTGATATTTTATGTTGTTATTCTCATTTTTCCATTGGTGTAACTGAGAGCTGCATTTGGCCCACTTCTTGGAAATTCATAGGGATAATAGCAAAACGTCAACTAGTGGAAAAATGTCTAAAGAATAAAAAGAGTATTAAACAAGAGGACAATAAAAAGGCTTTTCCTCTGATCTCGGGACTGGTTCAGTTCCACTTCAGCACAAAGCTACAATCAAAAGAAAATCAAAAGCTAGACCAATCAAATACAAGCCTGTTAGTGTTTGGGGTCTTATAGCTGCTTTTGAAGGTTTCTTTCTCATTTACATTTTATGGACTGCCACAACTAGGATCAAAACAATTACTCTTAGGTTTTCCAGTAGCTTGAAGAAATCTTCAAAAGACAGTAAACAGGCCTAGTATAGGAAGTCTCTGAACTGTTCTTTGTCCTGCTGTGGTCCCTGTACAGCTATCGCAGCAGTGAGAAAGGAACAAATAGTAAATAAAAATGGATCCAGGGCAGAAATTAGTTGCATGGGGAGTTTCCTGCTTAGACAGAGATAATGGAATGTTTTTTTATCTCACCACAAAACTGAAGCATGCTAGTGGAGAAATCTTAATGCGCCTTCCCTGGTCTTCAGATGTTTTGCAGCCATTCTCTC